TGTTGAATGGATGGTATTTGTTAAAAGTTTCAATTTAATATTAAGTCAATGTGTTGAGTAAGCTAATATATAACCGATTCAAGTCAAATTTGTTATATGAGTTTCATAATAAGAGATGGTAAGTACTCGATAAGTGAAAAAAATTTATTTTCAACGGTGGTGGTGGTGGTTGATATAGAATGCTTGAATAGGGAGGAAAAAAACGTGGATAAAAATGGGAATGTAGGGAGATAAGAATAAATACATGTTTTAATTGTTGTACTTATTGTTTTATTAACGATATTCGTCAATTTTTTAAATAAATATCAATGCAAGTGTTGTCAATTAAAATATATTAAGTTATATCTTTAAGAATTGCATAATTTTATACACTATAAAACTTATTTGAAATAGAACCGTTTTATGTTTTTAAAAATTGCATAATTTTATATAGGGTAAACAACATAAAAGACACTCCGTTTACACAAAAATTCTAATTTGACACTGTGTTTTTTTTTGTCTCAAATTTGACACTGTGTTTTCCGATTTGTTACAATTCTGACAACTTGACATGTTAACCAGGTTACATGTTGGCGTGGCATGATGACGTGTAGTTGTGATGACGTGGCATGCTGACGTGTCAAAATTGAATTTTTTTCCACAAAAAACACTAAGTTTTCGCTTTTTTCGATTTTAACACTAAGTTTAATTTTTTTTCTTTCAATTTTAACACTATGTTTTTTTGTTCCAAATTGAATATCATTTATCAAAATTTATTCAATTTTGACCATTTTCCATTTGAAACCGTATAAATATATTTTTTATTACATTTTAAACCGTATAAATATATATTTTTTCGTTTAAAAACCACATTTTTATTTAAATACAAGGTGTTTTTTTTTGTTTTTTTTTACATTCAAAGCATAATGTATAAATATGCATTAGTTATATCATGAGAATCAAACTAACCATAAGCTTCTAATAAGATGTAAAAATTTCACGGGTTGCAAACTTGACATCCGGGTTTTGATCGACTACACGCCTCCAACCCTCCAAACTCATTTTAAAGTTGCGTATTTAATATAAATAACGGTTTTTATTTAACTAATACATATTTATACATAAAATTATGGTTTAAATGTAAAAAATACCTTGTATTTATACAAAACTATGGTTTTTAATTGAAAAAAACATATTTATACGGTTTAAATGTATTAAAAAATATTTATATGCTTTCAAATAGAAAATTGTCAACATTGAACAAAATTGGAAAAAATTATGTTCGATTTGGAACAAAAAAAACATAGTGTTAAAATTGAAATTTTTTTTTAACTTAGTGTCAAAATCGAAAAAAAGTGAAAACTTAGTGTTTTTTGTGGTAAAAAAAATCAAATTTGGCACGTCAGCATATCATGTCAGCATGCCACGTCATCAAAACTGACACGTCATTATGTCACGTCAGCATGTAACCTGGTTAACCGGTCAAGTGGTCAGAATTGTAACAAACTGGAAAACACAGTGTCAAATTTGAGACAAAAAAAAAAAAAACACAGTGTCAAATTATAATTTTGGTGTAAACTGAGTGTCTTTTGTATTGTTTACCCTTTTATATACTATAAAATTTCATAACTTTGTATACCTAGAAGTTAGTCGGTGGATTCATACAAATATGGAATTTAAAATTCATTTGATGCCATATTATGTTGTAAAAATAAAACAATTTACTCATACTGAAATTTTATATCATAGAATGTATAATAGAGAAATTAAATATCCTCTTACATTTTTTTCCTATCTATTTTCTTATTCATGTTAAATGATAACATATGTCATATTTAATAAAATTAATAATATTTTAATACAGTTGTCATCTTTTAACATAGGTAGGAAGAAAATATATTTGGAGGATATTTACATAATTTTTTCAATACTCTAATGTTGTCTTATTAATACTCAATTGTTTACTTATTGATGACCAATTGTAGTTACTAAGGTGTTGTTTGTTTTTCTGAAGCCAAAATGTTTGCAGTCTGCGGACCACATCTGCAAGCCTCTGCAGCAGAAGAGGTGGATCAAGCGTCTGCAGTCTGCAATAAGAAGACTGTTTGTTTTTTTACGTTTGCAGGCTGCTGAAATAAACTGAATTTTAAAGTAAAATGATTTTACAAACTTAAAATGATTTTTCAACACCAAAATTTTAATAATAATAGTCATACAACACTGAAAATAAAATTCATGCAACTAAATTAGTCATACAATAAAAAAGATTGTCATATGCTTTTTTCATTTGTTTTTTAGTCAAATCCATGCCAAATTTTTTCATAAGAACTCTTGCAAACCTTATCCATGAATCTTTGTGCAAACTTAATCTTTTTCTTCCTACATTCTCAACTTCTTCAACACAAGTTTCCAATAAACATTTTAAATGCTCGTTGGTCCATTGTTGTTTCTCTCTCATCTCTAATGACCAATATATCATAGAAGCTTTAGGTAAGGCAAATAACTTGATTTCGTGTCATAAACATATAACAAAAGACATTTTCACCAAAAAAGAAGCACATATACATCATGATTTCACATTTTCAGCAAACAAAACCGCAAATAAACACCATTATTTCACAATTTCAGCAAAAAAAAATCATATAAACATCATTATTTCATAATTTCAGCAAAAACAGCATATAAGCATCATTATATGACAATTTCAGCACCAAAACAGCACTTAAACAACATTATTTCAGCAAAAAATAGCACATAAACATTAACATTTCGATTTTTTAGCAAAAAAACAACATATAAGCATCATTATATGATAATTCTAGCACAAAACAACACTTAAACAACATTATTTCAGCAAAAAAATAGCACATAAACATCAACATTTCGATTTTTCAGCAAAAAAACAGAATATTATATGACAATTCCAATACAAAACAGCACTTAAACAACATTATTTCAGCAAAAAAAATAACACATAAACATCATCATTTTGATTTTTCAGCAAAAAAACAACAACATATATGCATCATTATGTGACAATTCCAGCACAAAAACAAACACTTAAACAACATTATTTCAGCAAAAAATAACACATAAACATAAACATTTCGATTTTTCAACAACATACATCAACAAATATTGTGTTTCAGCAATATTTAACAAAAATTAAACAAGAAAATGATTGTTTTTGAAAATTTAGCAAGAAAATAACAAGAAAAGCTACATAAACATCAACTAATTTCAGTCAAATGAAGAGTTTTTCATGAAAAATACCCTTTAATTTCGTACTAAAACAAGAAAATTATCAGAAACAGAAGAGTTCTTACTTGTTTGCTGGTAGAGGAGTTGTTGCCTTTGATAGGAGAGTGTTCGCCTGCGATCGGAGAGGAGGGGAGCAGTGCTGATCGGAGTTGATGAACGTTAAGACGATGTTGGAAGCGATGCAAGATGCGTCAATGGTGGGAGGATTTAAGGGTGAGAAGTTTTGATGGAGGGGCTGACAGAAAGAAAACAAAAGGTGTCTTTTTTTAGGTTAAAAGGATTCACAGACCTTAGAAGTGTTTAGCCCATGTTTGTGTGGTGAAGACCTCGCGCAGACGTTTTTAGATCTGCGCACTTCGAAAAAACAAACACGCTGCAAGGGTATGTGTCTGCGCGTGGTCTGCGTCGCGCAGACAAAAGTGACTTCGCAGATCTGCAACAAAAAAACAAACACCCTCTAAGTAAACATCACAGAAGTTACTAAGCCGTAAGAATTTTAACTTTATTCCTATTTTTGAGAGCCCTAAAATTATGCTGATTTTTGAGATTTGATATAATCTATAATCTGAAATTCAAGGGATTTTAAAGATCAAGGATATATTTTGTAGTTCACTTTGAAAAATTTTAGGCAGGAAAAAACTTAAGAGGAGTTGAGACGATGCCACATGGCAAGAAATTGACTCGTTTATTAGAATAGAGGGAGAGGATGTTTGATTGCATGCATGACTTTACTTTCTTTATCATGTTAAGAGGAATTTTTAAATTTATTTAAACAGTAAAATATACTTATTAGAGTATTTGCTGGAGTAATGCATAATCCTATCATGTATTGTTCTGATGTGAAGATATTGATTGCCATTAGTAGTACATAATGGAAAAACAAAGAGAAGTTTTATTAGATTTACCTAAACAGCTATACAATATATATAAATTTATTCTAGAGTAAACTATATGAAAGGTCCCTATGGTTTGGGATAATTTGTACGTTTGGTACCTAACTTATTTTTTAAACTTGGAAGGTCTCTACTGTTTGTTTTTATTACGCGTTTGGTCCCTATTGTTTGTTTTTTTTTATGCATTTGGTCTCTGTCTTACCTAAAAATACTATTATTTAAATATGGAAAAATAATGGGGTAAGTAAGGTAAAGTGAGGGGGTGGAGTTGGGAGTGTGTTTATTTAAATAAATTAAAAAATCAAGGGCAAAATAGTCTTTTTAGATAAGACAAGGACCAAACACATAACAAAAACCAACAGTAGGGATCTTTCAAGTTAAAAAAATAAGTTAAGGACCAAACGCGCAGATTACCTTAAACCATAGGGACCATTCGTGTAATTTACTCTTTATTCTAATTAACGAAGTTAAACTCTTTTTTTTTCTTACTGTAGTCTCAAAATTCTTTATATATAAGAAATTTTGTTAAAATTTTGAGTTGCATAGCCTTGCCAAGAAATTTCAACTGTCCATATCATGTTCTATCGAACTTTATCTCATATTTGAAACGGAAAACACAAACAAAAAAATAGTTTCGTTGCAGCAATCAGGAGGGAACATATGGATGTGTGGTGTGATATCAAACGTAGATGGGTTCAGTGATAACGATGGGCTAATAGTTGCTGGGCTTAAGAATGGGCCGGTTTTGAGGACCAGAAGTGTAAAAGAGGAGAAGTCGGATGACCGAAGATTATGTTCAGTCGGAGCACGATATAAATACCGGAGATAGATGAAGACATTTTATCTTTGTTATTATTGATAAAAATTGCAACCACATAAAATACAACATCAACATAATTTAACTTGGCCTTTATTCTTCAACCTTCCGCAACTGTTATAAATCATTACACTACACAACAGCCACATCCGACATAGCCATGATGTTGTCAAGCAGAGTCCCCTGTGTAATCAACACCCTCCCTGCAACCAAAGCCGCATTCTCAAGTGCAGATCGTGCCACCTTTGCGGGATCAACAACTCCAGCCTCCACCAAATTCTCATACTCATTAGTCACTGCGTTATACCCCATCTCCCATTCCCCTTCCTTCACCTTCTCAACAGCCACCTCACCATCAATTCCGGCGTTCTGTGCAATCAACGATGCGGGTGCCACAATTGCCTTTTGAATAATATCAGCACCCAAACGTTCATCTGCATTATCAAGCTTTTCCTTAATGGCAGGAACTAATGTTGACAGATGAACAAATGCAGCTCCACCTCCAGGGACTATTCCTTCTTTTATTGCTGAAAATGTTGCGTTTTTTGCGTCCTCGAAACGGGATAATTCTGTTTCGGTTGCAGAGCCCCCCACTTTTATGACAGCGACCCTGCGGGATAAATTCGCGATTTGTTTTGCAAGTTGTTCAGAATCGTAGAGCGAATCTGTTTCAGATAATTCTTTCTTGATTTCGGAAACTCTCCACTCGATTTTATCTTTAGATGCACCATCAGCATTTGCATTGATGGTGGTTGACTCTTTGCTGACTGTGACCGTTTTAGCCTTTCCAAATTGCTCAACTGATATGTTTTCGATAAGCAAACCCGATTCACTCGATAGGAACGTAGCTCCTAAGACAAAACAAGTATTAGCAAAACGTACAATAAAAACAATTAATTAAGTTGCAGAAAGATATGAAGAAATATAACAGTTAGTTAGTAATTATAACCTGTCATGATGGCGATGTCTTGAAGGAGGGCTTTTCTTCTTTCGCCAATACCCGGCGCTTTAATGGCAGCCACTTTCAGGACGCCTCGCACTTTGTTTATAACAAGAGTTGCTAAAGCTTCACCAGTGACATCTTCAGCAATAATCAACAAAGGAGCGTTTAAGCTCATTATTTTTTCCACCAATGGGATTATGTCTTTATTTGAAGATATCTCTTGGTCTGTTACCAACACCCGGGCGTTCTCGAGTTCGACTATTAATTTCTCAGGGTCAGTAACAAAGTATGGGGAGATGTATCCTCTATCAATCTGCAAAATATTGGTTGATACAAAGACAGAGTTGTTGAATTTGTCATCGATGATACTGATCTAGTTTTAATATTACTACGTAATAGGTGCTACATACATACCACCATTCCTTCTTCAACATCAACAGTTGTCTCCAAGGAGGATCATGATGCTTCGATGGACAACTCACCATCTAGTCCAACCATGTCCATGGCATCAGCAATCGAGGTTCCAATGGCATCATCATTTCCAGCAGACATCGAGGCAATCGCTTGTTCGAAAAAAAAAAAAAAAAAAAAAAAAACGAAGAACCCATCAGCATCTCTCTGAGTCACTTATGAGTTATGACAACAAAACAAAACAAAACAAAAAAGAGAAGAGAATCTTTATGTAGAGTTTAGTAACTACCTTTAATATCAGCATGACCTTTAACAGGTGTGGCTTTCTTTTCCAGCTCCTGAACCAGAGCAGCTACAGTTTTGTCAATGCCTTTCTTTACAGAGACGGCATTAGCACCGGAGGTGACACTTGCGATACCGAGTTGGATTATTTCACGTGCAATAACCGATGCGGTTGTTGTCCCATCACCAGCTGACTCCTTGGTTTTGCTTGCAACCTATATATGAAATCAATTAGTAATTAATTAAGTTTAAATGGAGTATAATAATCTTTAGCTTCCTCTAACCTCTCTGATAAAACCAGCACCAATGTTTTCATTGGCATCAGATAGCTCAATAGATTTTCCAATTGAAACGCCATCATTAACAATCATTGGGCCACCATCTTTCACAATCACAACATCCCGTCCTATATAAAAAATAACAATGGCAATTATGAAATTGTGAAAATCATGGTTGCTGTAACTGTTTTAATACTGTTCTTTAATAGTTAGTATTAGCTTAAGCAAATTCATAATCCATACAAGCAAGCAAAACAATCCAATCCAAAATTAAAGAACATTAATCACTGGTTACTTAAGACAATAATAATGATAACTAGTGAATAGTGATATGACACCTCTAGGGCCAAGACTAAGACTGACAGCATCGGCAAGTGCATTGAGACCGGCCCCTATAGCCGCCCTGGCACCCTCTTGAAAGATAATCTCTCTAGCCCCAGCAGCGCGGACCGCGAACCGGCGATGATGCGATTGCCTCATCTTCTGAGCAGTCCGGAGTTGACTAACACCTCCATTACCATTTCCCAATCTCCCCTGCAGCTTCTGCTCATAACAACAGAATCCGACATAAATAACACACATCAGGAACAATCAGATTTAACTCAACAACATATATACCTGTTTAGGGGAGCAGATGATAGAAGCTGTAGAAATTGCATTAGCAGATGCCATCACAGAGTTAGTTGTCTCGTAGATAAGAGTTAGGTATTAGAATGGTGTTGTACCAAAAAGTCAGGGTTGCTCGGGTTTTATACTCATGGAGTGACCAGAAATTCAATGATCGCCATGTCCAGATGCATGTCAATTTGTTATTGATTATATTATGGGGTTGTTGACTTGCTGCTAGGTTAATGCAGAGTGAGAAGGCGCAAGATTCGATGATCTTCCTGTTAGGAATCGGACCGGGTACACGCAGCGGAAACACACTATCACACACTCACAAGCGAAACGAGAAAATAAAGCAAGAAGAACACAAGAATATTACGTGGTTCGGATTCGGTGTAAATCCTACGTCCACGGGCTGCAACTAGATTTTCTTATTAACTCAATAAGATTCCAATTTATAACTCTACAAGTTATATTTGATGCACACTTTCTCTGTTACACAACACACATATATATAGCTGTATATGTGCATAAACTTCCAAATATATATTATTATATATATTGCTTTACGCCAATAAAATAAGAGAAAAGTAAGAGCACACAAATGTTAAACAATTGTTGGAAATTGACGTTCACCAATTCTATGGCCATCTTCTTTGACCACCTTTTCCTCCACCAATTTTCTCCACCAACCAACAATCTCCCACTTGGAGAAAATAACCCAACAATTCTCCAGTAATCTTAAAACAACCAAGTCTTCCAAGCCTCCAGTTCCCAAGAACAAGCTAAACTTAGTCCAATTTTTCTAATTGCAGCCGCCCCTCATCATCATCTAGAAGGGCCAGTTGAAGTTCCCACTAGCTCCAACTCAGCCGTGGCTAATCCCACCACCGACTCATCATCTGTCTCAACCGGTTTGGACACTCCACCAGATCCAAAGATACACCGAGGACCACTAACACTCTCCAAACATAGCAAACATCCAACAGGAGAGAATTTTTCAGTCTTAGTCTTCAAAACCCAACGGCTCTTTGTAACTTTACCCGAAACACGTCCCGTGCTCCCATTGTCACCAAATCCCCTGAATGGTTTAGACTTTCGAACTCGTTCAGCTAACATCTCTTTGGCTCCAGAGTTCATGTTTGCAAAATGAACTCTCTTAGCACCAGATTTAGCGAACCAGATTTTGTCATTCTTAACCGCGACGGTCATACTTCCCTCAGCAGGTACCTCAACCATATACAATGACTCACACTTCATACCATGAGCAATCACCGAATTACCATTGACCACCACCAAACCTTACTTCCAGTCCTTGTTTATCCAGCTGACCAACAGAAATCAATTTCTTTTTCAGCTCCGGAATCACCCTGACATTCTTCAGGTTCCATGTAGTTCCCAATGAAGTAACCAGATCAATATCTCCTATGCCCGTTACTTGAAGCATCTTGTCATTTGCCAACCGTACCTTCCCAAAATCTCCTTCTTTTAGATTCACCATCGTTTCCCCGTTGTCCATGGCGTGAAACGAAGCCCCTGAATCCATGACCCAAGAGTCTACAGAACTTTCCATACTGAGTAACAATGCATCATCCCCAGAAAAATTCTCAGCATCAGCAATGTTCAATTCTTTCTTTGGACATTGACTCTTAACATGTCCCACTTCTTGACAGTTCCAACATTTCACATTCTTCAAAGTTCTAGAAGAACTTTTTCCCCGACTCCCACTGCTCCCACTATTCCTGCTATTCCCTCTACCTCTTCCGACATTTAATAAATCAGAAGAGGAAGATCCACCTTGATTCTTGCGTCTGATATCCTCGCCTAGAACCAAATCTCTAACCCCTTCAAAAGTCATACCACTGGTCCCCGCGGAACTTGTAACAGCAGTAACTGTTCCGGACCAGCTATCAGGTAGAGAAGCTAGTAGCAGCGAAGCTTGAGTCTCATTATCAAATTTAATTCCCACAGATGATAATCTGGACAGAATTGAATTTAGATTGTTAATGTGAACCGTAACTGAGCCTTCCTCATTCATCCTTGTAGTGAACAGCTCCTTCATCAAGAACACCTTGTTAGCCGCCGATGGTTTCTCATACATATTTGACAGAGCCTCCATCATACCACGCGCCGTGGTTTCATTCATGATGTTGAAAGCAACGCTCTTCGTCAACGACAATGTAATAACCGCCTTGGCTTTCTTGTCCTTTGAGTTCCACGCATCTTCAGCAGCTTTTTCCATTTTCTCCGGTTTGTCTCCGAGTACCACGTCCAAGTCTTTCTGACATAGCAATGCTTCTAATTGCATTTTCCACCAGCTAAAATCAGAACCATTGAACCTTTCGATTATAACCTTGTCTTCAGCCATTACGGCAAACAAAAAAAAATAAGGTACACTCGTGTGTGACAGAAAAACGATCGTACCCTCCAAAACCTTGCTAACCAGGCTCTGATACCAGTTGTTAGGAATCGGACCGGGTACACGCAGCGGAAACACACTATCACACACTCACAAACGAAACGAGAAAATAAAGCAAGAAGAACACAAGAATATTACGTGGTTCGGATTCGGTGTAAATCCTACGTCCACGGGCTGCAACTAGATTTTCTTATTAACTCAATAAGATTACAATTTATAACTCTACAAGTTATATTTGATGCACACTTTCTCTGCTACACAACACACATATATATAGCTGTATATGTGCATAAACTTCCAAATATATATTATTATATATATTGCTTTACGCCAATAAAATAAGAGAAAAGTAAGAGCACACAAATGTTAAACAATTGTTGGAAATTGACGTTCACCAATTCTATGGCCATCTTCTTTGACCACCTTTTCCTCCACCAATTTTCTCCACCAACCAACACTTCCATATCCACATTTCCAGCTCCCGATCTCACACGGTGTAGAGATATTGTGATTATATTATTGGGTTATTTCCAGGGTTTTAAGAATATGGGGTGAGGAGCTTAGAAGATTGGATGATCTCCATACCCAGATCTCATGGGATCTCACATTGTGTAGATTGACAATTCGTGATTATATTATTATTAAGTTGTTGCATGGCTTTTATGACGGGAGTGACCAGTGAGATTCGATGATCCCCATCCCATACCCATATCCATATCTATATCACATATCCCAACTCCCGATCTCTATGTCTAGAATGGCAATTTGTGATTATATTATTGGGTTGTTGCCACGATTTTAAGATGGAATGACAAGATTTTATTTAGCTACAACATTAATTTTGAGAATTTATGAAGGGCGAATTTAGTTAGCTACAAGGCCTACAACAGGTATCCATAAACACAGGGCGTCTTTGGTAAAAACTAGCTGGTAGCGGGTAGTTGGTAGCGTGTAGCGGATAGCTGATAGCAGGTAGCGTTTTGTTAAATGCTACGTGAAATAGCTTTTGGATTTGGAGCGTTTTGTTTAAAGTAAACTCTAGAAGTTTGTAGTGTCAAACGAGACTTTCTGTTCAAAACGGAGCATTTTGTCAAACGCTAGAAGCTCCCAAACGCTCCGTGCCGAACATACCATTAGTTTGATATCCATAAACAACTTTAATTTTAAATGGTTATATAAAAGAATTCAAACACACTTAGTTTGGTATTAAAACGAGGGACGGATATAGATAATAGATCTAGCTAGTAATAGAGTAAAAAATTGAATTTTTTGTAGAAGAGAAAATTACAGAAGCGGTCCATATGTTTTGCATATTTTTTTTGGTTAAGGTTCAAAAAGTTTTCGACTCATAAAAATAGTCATTTTTAAAAGGGAAAATGACATAAATGCCCTACAAATTTTCTAGGGTTGAACCTTTTGTTCTCTAAACCTTTTTTGTGGATGAGGGAACGAGCTTGTGATAACCTGTCTTTTTACCCTTTTTACTTGGTGCAGCCGGTTTGAGTCTCTTTCTCAGTCAAAGTCAACATATTTGCCTCTTTTCTTGTTTAAGAGCACCATGGCAGAAACGGGATGTTCATTATGATTACTTCGTGCTATCTGTTTCAAACTCATCATCATCTTCATCTTTATCAGCATCTTCATCAACATCTTCGACTGTAACTTCATCTTCATGATTATGATCGATTTTTTCCTATTCGTGTTCGGTTTCTTCTTCGAGTTCTGAAATCCCTTACTCTTCCCTAACTTGCTGTAATCCACTGATATCATCATCAAACACGCTTTGATGATAGTTATTCGTTATTTAGCCGAAAAAAATCCCATTGTGACGAGCGTTCTGGCGAAGGAGGCGAAAAATTAGGTCTAATGTAATGGAAAATAGACGACGACGACGATTGTGATTCTGTTTGCGATTGCATCCTAAAGAAACTATCGGCGGCATAATGATATGCCGAAAAGTGGGTATACGACTCGATGATGATGGATTCCAGCGAATCAGGAAGTCGTTCTTCCATAAAAATCGATGGGTTCCCTCCGGGTCGAAGGTAGTGTACTTTTGGTTCAATTTTAACGAAATTTGGGGAAATGGTGATGATCTGAGGGGTTGTTTTCTTTGTGGCGGTGTAAGGCGGTTGTGTGGTGAAGTAATGTATGGAGAGTTCACGGGGTTCATCACCTTCCACATATTCTTTCAGGGCAACAGAAACTCGTTTGACTGATCGGAGATAAACTATATGGCCGGAAGCAAATTTGGTCCGGTGTTCAACAACTTTTTTGATGAAGTTTTTACTATTTTTACAGAGCTTGACGACTTCTCTGTCATCTAACTTTGATGATGAACATCTCATTTCTTTACTTTTAGGATATTTTGTGATTCAAATAAGATTGGATATTTTGTGTCGATCTCGCAATCAATGCGTTTCGTCTTTTATTTGGCAATTAGGACTGTTGCTTCTAATCTCGGAATCGGAATTGATCGTATTGGTGATGGTCTGCAATTGATTTGCAAACTGGAATCGTTTTCGTTAGATTTTGACTTTTAAAGTCAAACAATGCGTTCCATCTGTCCAGATAATGAAGATGCTTCTTTCTTTATCTTTCTACGTAATGATTTTTATCTTCATGGTGTAGACCTGTTGTGCCAGGTTAGCATCTTCTTCATTTGTCGATGATGATAAAGCCAAATAGTCATATTATAGTGTTTCTTTAATTGTATGTGAATTGAAAAATTGGTTTGTTTTAGAAGACCGTGTTTATAGTGATGGAAGAGAGAAAGCTATTGGAGAGTGTGAAAAATTATCAATGAAGATAAAGTGGAGAGCAGACAGGGGAAAAAGGTGAAGAAAGCTCAAGAGGAGAAGATGAATAGTACCGGGTATTTGGTCAACAAGTCAATCGGGTAACCGGATGACCCCTTCATTTTGTCCAAAAGGACGTAATCGACCTGGAAAAAACAAATTCGTTCCCTCATAAAGCAACGAAAATACTTTAGGGACTAATTGAACCAACCCTAGAAACATTATAGGGCCTATACGTCATTTTCCCTTTTTAAAAGG